TTACCGTGTTATGTTGTCGGGCTAACTGCCTACGATTCATTGACAAAGGTCGTTTCTTTTTTCCTGTTGTGTAACAGAACAGCGTGGGAACGGCAGTGGGTGTGAGTCTCCTTCGTTGATTTGCCAGCGGGCTTTCCTCCCCATAGACTCCAGCTACAACAGCAAATAAAAAAATTAGGCTTACAGCTCATATTCATGTACAAAATCAATTCACACACATTTTAATAAAACAACACTAATTCATTCATTTAAAAATATTTAGTTTATTATTTTATTCCAAAATTAAACATTTAGTTTGTTAATATTTAGCTCAAAACTAAATATTTAGTTTGTTAAATAAATATCAAATTTTTTAAATTAATATTTACCTTCAAACTAAATATTTATTCCTTTTTTAGATAAATATTTAGCTACAAACTAAATATTTCCCACATTGTTTGGTATATGCAAAGGATGTGGGAGAAATTGAGACATACATATTTATTTATATAAATATATATATGTTAGGATAATTATCATTGAGATATTATATACAAAAACATTTCCCCCCAAGGGATTAATAAAATAAATCTGATTCCAATTTTGGCAGAATTCAAATGAGCCGTTTTAATTTAGATTAATTCCAAGATTTCAGGAAGCTTTTTCAAATCCAAATGGCAAAAACAGTTTCAAGTTTTATTTTTTATTGTTTTTAATTATTTTTCTTCTTCTAAATTCAAGTTATATTTGAAATCTCTTAAATGTATCAAATCATATGACCACCTGACTGAAATACTGATGGGATTGCCCACTGATGCACAGCAATCCCAACATGAAGCCCCTTGTTGCCATGGTAATAACTGTTTCATTTACTTATTTAGTTATTTATTTTTTGTTTCTTATCAATGTTGCCTTTTATTTCTATTTTGAAATCTGCCTCTACTCTGCCTTCCACAGACTTATAATGTTGCTATTGCCTTACTTGTTTGTACCTCTGTTTAAATAAAGTTCATAATAAAAAAAAAAAAAACACAGGCAGCAGAGCTGCAGCGGCGCTTTGTTGTTCATTACAAGCATGTTACATCAAATTACTGGTAGGAACACGGACTCTATGGTTCCCATGGAAACCTGTGTCCATGCGGTATCGATCAAAAGAAAAACCTACCGAATATCCTCGCTCTCATGTCCTCTTGAAAACATTCTTTTTCGAAATGTTGGCTACAAATGACGTGTTTTTTCTCCGGCCAGAAGTCCGATGGTAAATCCTCCCTCTTCAGGTTGGCAATCCAACGACGAACCCGTGGTGGGTCATGAACCGGAAACATGAAATAACTGATGTTTTTATCACTTTTACCCGATGTGTTACAGCATCCAACGGCCATGCACGTGGGCATTGTCAGTTTCACTATAGCTCTGGTGAATTTCAATGGTGAAGTCCTCTGGAAATCTTCAAT